ACTGGAAGAGGAGGGAAGAGGTCATCTTCTTCCTCCAAGCCCTGTATTTCCTAACAAACCCCTATTTTCCAAAAGGAGGCCCAGGTGGAGTATCAGATGAGCTCCCGGCTGATGGGAGGCATTTCTCCAGGCTCGGGAGGCTATAGATAGGCCTTTATTCGGCAGCCAGATCTCAGTTCCAGAAGGCACTGGCAGCCACTGGAGTGGCCATCTCTCGGCCCAGGTTTCCCGAGCCAGTTCTCAAGGTCCTTCCAGGTGGGCGGGGGCAGAGTCGGGTTTCGGGGGATGGGCTAACCACCTCCGGCCCCCGCGCGGCAGACCCCACCCTCTTCGCAGCAGAAAGGGAAGGGACGTGGGGCAGGATTCACCCTAACCCCGCTCCAAACGGGAGTCCGCGGGGCGCTGGAACAAAGCTGGACTGGTCGGCCAGGCGAGGCCCGAGCCTCAGGCGGAGCTCGCTCGCACCGGCTGGGGAGGGGACGCCGCAGGGTGCAGAGGCGGGCTCGGAGGCGTCGGCATCTGGCCTTGATGGGCCTTGGGGACACATAGGCCCAGCGATGGCCACCTTCCTACTTTGGGGGGAGGGGGAAGGCAGAGGGCAGTAGTACTGACCATCCTCACGCAAAGGGAGGCAGCAGGCGAGGGAGTGGGAACCGCCGGTAAGCCGAGGCTGCCGCGGATCCCGCAGGCCCACAGTCCGTCAGGGTCACTAAGGGGAAGATGTCCCGGATCCCCGCCCTGCAGTCCCGCGGGTTCAGGAAGGGGCCGTCATATTGGACTATAAGGCGAGGGCCCTTACCGCTTGAAATCCCGCATGAGCCTCCTACGGGCCGGGGTCGACATGCTCCGCAGCTGCCCCGCGGTCAGTCTGAAAGAAAAAGAGTCCCGTTCGGCCCCCCCACCCCCCGGCGCAGCGGCCGAATCACTGTGGGTCGCCGCCGCCGCCGAGACTGCACAAACAACCCTGCAATGACGTCTCCCTCCGCCGCCTCCAGATCCCTCCGCCCTCCGCCAGTACCACCGCGGGAGGAGGGGGGAGGGGGCGGGGCGAGCGGGCGCGCGCGCGGCCGCGGCCCGCGCCAGGGTCCGTCTTCCGGGTTGATTTCCTGTGGGGAGCCGCGCCGAGCCCGCTCCCTGTTCACGCCGGGCGCGACGGGCCCGTGGCCGCCGGCGGCCACACGCTACCTTGCCTCTCTCCCCCCGTCGCTAGTTTCAGGTTCGGCCGGACGGGGAGAGACGGGCGCATCCGGAGCCTGAGATTTCAGGGAAAGGAGGTGGGGGTGACGTCAGGTCACGTGACCGCTGGCGGCGTTGTCAACAATCCACCCCTGAGGGGGAGGGAGCGAAGTATCTAGAACCACGTGTCCCTGTGACGTCATTAAACAGGTCACGTGACGGCGTCGCCTGGCTCCTGGTTTTAGGTCTAATGAGGCAGGTCGCTGAGTTTAAGAGCGAGCTTGACACCTCTAGTCGTATCTTGTTCTTTTGGCCCCAAGTACTGGAACTTTGCCGAAGGAGATGTTGTGGAAGGAGCCGCTTGCCTTCTAAGTCTTTAACACGGAACAAAAAAAAATCTGAATTTTCTATTTTAAGTGACTTAGCAACTTTGGTACGTGGGGCAGGTGCTGAAACGGTCGCGTACACTTGTAAGAATCAGCTTTGAATGCTAAGGCCAGCGCAAATGAGATGGCTCACAGGCTTTGGGACCAATAACCTGTTCCCACTAGTGGGATTTTTATACGGAAATGAGCATGGACTAGATTGTCCAAGCCTTTAAAGACGGCACAGAGCTAAAAAAATTGGAATCTGAATTTGCCTGCGTTTGAGGCACAATTGTATTTTTCAAGAAATGTGGAGGTGTGATTTTAGAGCATATCAATGGGCTGCTGGTTGTCAAAGAAACATACAGAAGTGATTCAGATGGGGGGAGAGATGGTGCAGACGTGAGTGGGAGATATTTCTTGAGTCTGAGATAACTCATTACAGCTCATTACAGGCTTTGGATAATTGCAAGGAGGGTGCCAAGAGGACCGGAAGTGCCCCGTCGCGGGTGCTGATGCACAGCAGGCTGTCCTCCTTTGCTGAGTCACGGAATACCCACCCTCAGCTTCCATCTCCAGTTGTGAAGATTTGTTAATCGGGTACAGAACATTTTAGAAGACGCGGAATTCTTAATTCTAGCAGGAGGAAGGGAATGAAAATCCACTGCTCCGCTCCTGCCCATGTTTTCAGGAAACCAGGAAGGCTTTATGTTTCCCACTGCCCTTACCCCTCTCTTCAAACTCTGAATTCTCTTGGTTTAAAGGAACCTTGAGAACCCAATGGCTTGGTGTACTCTGCTGATCCCACCATTCAGGTAGTGGAAAGGATCAGGAGTTGAAGGGTAAGCCTCAGTGACAGTGAGACAGTCTCATCCTCCTATCCCCCTCTACCCCCAGAAAAGTAACCTTGAGGTTTGCCAGGTAGGTCTAAGTTACCCTAGCCGCTGCTCTGCACTCGCAGAGTGACTCAGCTAAAAGTTAAATACTTCTTAACTTTTTAAGTTTTTTTCTCCTTTTTGAGGTATATGATAGAACCACAGGGTCTTATATAGTCCTTTTTTTGTTTTTCAAGACATGGTTTCTCGGTGTAGCTTTGGATCCTGTACTGAAACTCACTCTGTAGACCAGGCTGGCCTCGAACTCACAGACATCCGCCTGCCTCTGCCTCCCGAGTGCTGGGATTAAAGGCCCTTTAACTTTTTATTGAGCGGGAAGTGACAGTGCACAGATGCAGCCTCAGCACTAAATAGGTGGGGACAGGAGGGCTGCAAATTCCATGCTGCGTTGAGCTGCGTGGAGAGATACTGGCTCTAAGGTTCCCTGGGCTGGCTTCAACTCCCATTGAGTAGCTGGCATAGGTAACAAGTAACTTGCCTTTCCTTGTCTTCTTTTTTTTTGTTGTTGTTGTTTTGTTTTTTTGTTTTTCGAGACAGGGTTTCTCTGTGGTTTTGGAGCCTGTCCTGGAACTAGCTCTTGTAGACCAGGATGGTCTCGAACTCACAGAGATCCGCCTGCCTCTGCCTCCCAAGTGCTGGGATTAAAGGTTTTATGTTTTTTTTTTTTAATTTGCCATCCAGCCATACCATTCCTAATCTTCCTCATGGGTTAAGAACAAAGGCAGATAAATATGTGGGATTATATGCAGTGAAATGCTAAAGAGATTTTTTTTAAAAAAATCTCATTTTGTCCCTTATCTAGTAATTTAACTTAGAAATGGATGGGATAGTTTGATTTTTTTTCCAAAATGAAATGTTTTGACAAATTCCTTGTACTTCCTTAAGTATTAGAGAGCAGAATATTAACAAACCCACACAATTTCTTGGTCAGGCTGCTTGCTGGAAACTTACAACTATGGTCTTAGAACTTAGTTTTTGTTTTTAAAAACAGGGTATGTGTAGCTCAGGCTGGCCTGGAACTTGCTATGTCAACCAGGCTTCCTCAGTCTCAATAGACCTCTGCCTCTCCCCAGAGTACTGGGATTAGAATGGGTACCAGTGACTTGGCAGCTTTGTGAGTTAAGTGATGCCAGGAACTCAGTCTGATTCATGCTTTGCTCTTTGCAAATATTTAGTTCATAACAAATAGAAAATTAACATACAGCAGGTCTCGTAGTGTTGGAAGACTTAACTATGACATTTTGTTTGTTTTTTTCAAGACAGGGTTTCTCTCTGCTACTGCCCTGGCTGTCCTGGAACTCGCTCTGCTGACCAGGCTGGCCTCGAACCTAGAGATCTACCTCTGCCTCCCCATCCCTGAGCACTGGTGCTATAAAGGCTTGTGTTACCACTGCCACATGGCTGACACTTTTATTGTGTGGGGTAGGACAGACCGATGAGGATGTCGATGATACAGACACATGGCAAACCCAAACCAGGTACCCATCCCTCCTCGCTCTCGAGCTCCGAAATCCAGCCCTAACTGGATAGACAGGAGAAGATGCTCTAACCTGTTTTTAAATAAGCAGACTAGTTTCTCTTTTTTGCATACACCCCTTAGCACCCTTCCTGTGTGCATTCATTTATTTTTGTGTGCAGGCCAGAGGACAAGTTGGAGGAATTGGTTCTCTGTCCACCAAGCAGACCCAAGGGATTGCTCTCAAGTTGTCAGCTTCCTAGCCTTTCTCCTGAGCTATCTTATTGAACTAGCTTTACTACTATTCCAGTTGAATCAGGATCTCAAGGTGGAGCCCTTCAACACCTCTTCGGGTTATTAAATGTACATTCCCAAGTGTCCTTGTATAGCACTCCGTTTTGCATTTCACATGTAGTGAGAAAACTTTGTAAAAGGACTGCGAGGGCCTTTAGCACAGCACTCAAAGCAGACAGATGAACTCTTGGGAGTTCAAGGCCAGCCTGGACTACAAGTAAGTCCCAGGCCAGCCAGAGCTACAAAGGAGACCCTGCCTCAAAACAAGTAAAAAAGGAGTACCAGTAGTTGGAAAACACGAAGGAATATCGAGAATCTTAAAGAACATTAGAAATACCGTTAGAAATAAATTAGGGGTCCAGTGAATGCGGAGTTAGGAATAAGTCAAGGGTGTAATGAATGCTGAGTTTGTGGCTTACCACTGGGCTATGCCCTCTGCCTAAGAACCATCTTGTCCCTGTTTAAGGATCGATGTCGACTTTGAAGTCGGATTCAGGTGTATGGAATATTAATGTAGTACTGGCAAACCAGTCACAAAGGCTTCCTTGGGTCAGTTGTCTTTAATAATAATCAGCCTCTTAGGACGGGGCACAAGCGGGTGACCAGTCACCCTGGCGACAAAATGCTCTTTTCCCCTGGCAGAAAGAGCCCTCGAGGGCGTTCAATCTGCGACAAAAACCGCCTTCCCCCATTCTGCAAGCACACTGGGCTACTGCACCATCTAGCTTCCGCTTCGCGTCACTTTCCCTTCCGGGTCGGGACCCCAGCGATTTCCAGTCTTGCGTACTGCTGTTCGAACGCCGGCCCCGCCCCCACCCCGTTGCCAGGGCGTCGGGCGGCCCAGAGCCGGCAAAGTCGGCCTGGAGAGGAGGCGTGGTGTCCCGCGGCCGGCTGGGACTTCGCGGAGCCGGGCCTGCGGGACTACAGGATGGGCTGAGTCGGCGGCGGCTCTCAGGACGAGGTGGACAGCCCGGCCGGAGGCGTGACCCGGGTTGTGGCTGTTTAGGCTGTGGGCTTCAGGAGAGGGCGGGCCGCGTGGGCAAATGCGGTACCGAGGTGGGGATGTAGCCGGTCACAAGAAACCCGCAGTGTTTGTTAGAGGGACTTTTTAACCTGCCTTCCTTCGTCTTTGCTGTTTTTTGAAAAGGGAACTTGTTTTCTAAATCCCATATTCTAAAATGATTCCTGAATTAAGCGCGAATCAGACCTCCCTTAGTCCCAAAATGCTAGATTAATGCAGGACACCCATGTGTTGTGGTGAAAGTTGGAACTTCTCCGACAACCTAAGAGTTCCCACGAACAGGCTGTGCTGTAGCCAGCTCTCCTAGATTTTGTTCTTATATTTGAAAGTAGGGGGTTATCGACTCTATACATTATCCAGCTTGAAAATTTAAAGCATGAACTTATAACATTTTCCTTATTTCTGTGAAGCAGAAGCCCGGCTTGAAAATGGAGATGTATGAAACTCTTGGAAAAGTGGGAGAGGGAAGTTATGGAACGGTCATGAAATGCAAACATAAGGATACTGGGCGGATAGTGGCCATTAAGATATTCTATGAGAAACCAGAAAAATCTGTCAACAAAATTGCAACGAGAGAAATAAAGTTTCTAAAGGTTTGTTTCTTTTGCCTTTTATTGTATATATAATTTTTTCCCATTGGAATTCATCTTGCTATGAAGTCCAGACTGGCCTGGAACACTTATTTTTTCCAGTGCTGAGATTTACAGGCTACGTTACAACACCGGGCTTCTTTTGCCTTGATTGTGTAAGTCAAGCGAGAAATTGTTGTAGAATGAAGATAAAATGTATGAAAGAACATTTCCATTAACAATATACTGCATAGAGAAATTCTCATTACCTATAGTTTGTAATTTTTAGTGATAAAAGATCTGCATTCTTGTGTATAGCAGAATTATGATAATATTGTGAAGCTGTTCAAAACTACTCAGTTATAATGCTTAAAGACGTCTGCTTTGTACAAAGGACTGTGGAAGAAGCTGAGACTAGAAAGAAGTAAAAATTTGTTCCTTAATGACTTATGACTAGACAGGAGGTGTACAAAAGATAATCCTAATAAGAGTGACTCATGCTAAGCCAGAGAGATGGCTCTGTGATTCAGAGCGCTTGCTGCCCTTGGAGAGGACTAGAGTCAGTCCCCGGGATCCATATCAGAAGGCTCACAACAGCCTGTACCTCCAGCTCCTGGGGGACACCTGCAGGCTTGTGTGCGGAACCACATAGCCACACAGGTTTTTTGTTTTGTTTTGTGTTTTTTAATGGTTACTATTAAATTCCACACACTTCTGTTTGGCTGGGAAGGGTTCTTGCAGAAAATATGCTGTGTTCTTGGCTTTGAAGGATGTGTAGCATTTGGGTGAAGTGGAGCTACTGCTGAGTTCCAGAACAACATAAGCGTAGAAAGACAAGAACAAACAGCAAGAGTGGAAAGGAAAAGAACAAATACTTGTCTATGAGTTTCTTGTATAGAATTAGAATTCTAATTAGTGCTGTAAATTGGAAGTAGATTTTAAAGCGTTTTAGGCTAAGAAGTCAAAACTTGGTTTGGGTTTGATCTGGAGTAGCTCCATTGGTAGACTGCTGGCCAAGCATGTCCGAAGCCCTGGGTTTGGTCCCCAGAACCACATAAAACTGAGTGTGTGCAATCCTCTGCTATATATTAAGTTCCAAGCCAGCTTGGGGTACGTGACACCCTGACTCAAAGACACAAACCTGATTTTTTTAGGAGATGGAAAATGAAGGTTTGAGTTAATTGTAAAGAATCCCTGTTAGGTAGTCAGGTGGTGATGGCGCGTGCCTTTAATCCCAGCACTTGGGAGGCAGAGGAAGGCAGATATCTGTGAGTTTGAGACCAACCTAGTCTACAAGAGCTAGTTCCAGGACAGGCTCCAAAGCTACAGAAAAACCCTGTCTTTAAAAACTAAAAGAATAAAAAAAATTCTGTTAGGTATTAATCTATCAATACTTTGTAGAATGTATTAGAAGACTGAAATCTAAAGGGGTCTGATGGAAATTTAATTCAGAAATCCTGCTAATATCATGAGGCCTTTTTTAGACTCCAGCAGTGTAAATGGCATGCAGAAAGGAGTCGGAGATGTCCTTGAAGTTCAGAGAATACTGCAGTTGATGTAAAGTGGAGAATTTGAGAGCTAGTTCAGTTCTGGGACTGTTGACTTAGAGATGACAGGGATATTTAACTAAAGACTATTAGGCTTCTGCAAACAGCAAGTGTCAGGAGAGATGAGGGCACTGTATGTGTGACAGGCAAAGAACGGAGGAGGTAAAGAGTGTGAACATTCTTTGGGGACTGGGTCCAAAACTAGACACCGACACAGGAAGCAGTGCCTCCAGGTACAGGTGTTCTATCTTACTGTGCTTTCGGGGCTCTCACCTCGACAGTGGAGTCCAGATGTTTTACATGTGATGAAGAGTACAGCTGCTCTTGCCCATCTTTGTAGGTACAAAAGAAACGTTTTCTTTCTTTTTCTTTTTGGTTTTTCAAGACAGGGTTTCTCTGTGTAACAGCCTGGTTGTCCTGGACTAGCTCTTATAGACCAGGCTGGCTTCGAACTCACAGAGATCTGTCTGCCTCTGCCTCCTGAGTGCTAGGATTGAAGGCATGTGTCACCATCGCCCAGCATTTTCTTTCTTTTTGTCTGTATTAGATAATATAAATCTAAATAGAATTCCATGTTAGCACCTGTGGACAGTTGGAACTGCTATATTTCTAGACCGTATAAAGGAAAAGTAAAAGCTAGTAAAGACATTATGATTTTTTTTTTTAATGAAAGACACCAGTCCTTGCCTGATGAAATGAAACAGCACTGTCAGGCAGTTTGTGCTCCTTAAGTGAGAAATCAAATTAGGAAATAATGGCTTTGAACTTCTGAACCTTCTGCCTCCACCTCCATAGTGCTGACATTGCATACACCATACCTGTTGTTTTTAATTTTTAAATTACATTTTGCCATTTATTCTGGTGTGTGCGTGATGCACATTGACAGTGCACATGTGGAGACCACAGGGTAACTTGGGAAGTTGGAGGGCTCTCGGTTGTCAGGCTTGACAGCAAGTGCCTTTACCCTTTGAGCCATGTAGCCTCGCAGTTTCATGTGTTGTTAGGGATCACACTCAGGGCTTTGTGCACGCTAGACAGCACTCCACCAGCTGAGTGCTAGCTCCAGCCCTATTTAGTGATACTATAACACTAACCAGTAGTGACAAGAACATGGAGATGAGCTTGAAAACATATTTTGTTATAACTATAGGCAAATAACTTATTTGAGACAGGGTTTCATTATGCATCCTTGGGTGATTTGGAATTTGCTATGTAGGCCAGGCTGGCCTCAAACTCACTAATCTGCCTATCTCTGCCTGCTGAATGCTGAGACTAAAGGTATGTGGGACCATGTCTGGTATATGCAAATTGTTTTAAGACACTTTGTTTCTTTTTTAAGACAGGGTCTCCCTATGTAGTCCAAGCTGCACTGGAACTTCCTATGTAGAACAGACTAGCCTCTGATTTACCGAGAGAGAGAGATCTGCTTCTCTCCACCTTACTAGTATTGGAATTAAAGGCCTGTGACACCATTGGCACTCTAAACTATTCTCGCTGACTTTGTATGGGATGTCCCACCTGCTTTCCCTCTCTTCCTACCTTTCTTCCTTTAAAATATTTCTTTCTTTCTTTGGTTGGTTGGGTTTTCAAGACAGGGTTTCTCTGTATAACAGCCCTGACTGTCCTGGAACTCGATGTGTAGATCAGGCTGACTTCAAACTCACAGAGATCCACCTGCCACTGCCTTCCAAGTGCTGGGATTAAAGGCATGCACCATCACCTCACCTAGCTGAAATACTTTTTAAACTTAGAAGAGTTTTATTTTATGTGTATAGGTCTTTAGTCTGTATGTGTTTGTACCGTGTTGGTGCATCCCAACAGAGGCCAGAAGAGGGTGTCACAGCTCTGAGCATGAGGGTTCAGGATCAGAGACTTATGGGCTGGAGAGTTGACTTGGCAGTTAAGAGTGCTTGTTGCTCTTCCAGAGGACCTAGGTTCGATTCCTGTAGCCCACAAGGTGGGATCTGATTTTCCTTTCTCACCTCCCTGGGCACCAGTCATGCATCTGATGTACAGACATAAATGTAAAATATATATCTGTACATATATGTACATGTATTTTACTATTTTATACACATGAAATTGTAAGAGAAATAAACCTAAAAGAACCAGAGTCCTCTGGAAGATGTGCCAGTTCTCTTAATCACCATTTTATCTCTCCAGGCCCCTTCTTTTTACACCAAATTTTATTGCATAGTCCAAACTAGCGTGGAACTCATTGTATAGCTCAGGCTGGCCTCAAATTCTTTCTCATTCTGCTTCAGCTTCTGTAGTCCTGGGATTACAGGCACGTGCCACTGCATACCACTTTTCAATTTAGCATAATCTAATAAGAGAGCTCTTGCATTTGCTAATATTCTTAACCTCAAATGATTTCCCAAATAACTCAATTTTAACTAAATTTTAATGGTAGAATCTGATTAAATTACTGACACAGCAGTTAGAATATCTGTGAAAGGTTGTCTAGTAATAGAGAAAAATATAATTAAATATACACAAAGAAAGAAGACCCCTACTGTTTTTGTTTGTTCCTTACTTCCTCCACTATTTTGCCTTTAAAATAAAGACTAAGGGCTGGAGAGATGGCTCGGCTGTTAAGAGCTTTTGTTCTTGCAGAGGACCTGGATTTGGTTCCCATCACACACATGGTGACTCACAACCATCTGTAACTTCATTTCCAGGGGTGAGCACCAGGCATGCACTTGTGTACGGACATACATGCAGATCAGACACCTATACTCATAAATAAGCCTATAGGAATATAAATTAGAGGTTGTACAGAAAGCCGGCAGTTTTCCCTAGGTGGGCCATTTGTGTGGTGTCTGTAAGCACTGACCCTCCCCTGTCCCTTCACTGCTGCCAGTGTGTCATTGCCGCGGCCGCACCACAGCATCTTACTAAACAGGGAAATGGAGAGCAAAAATAGGAAAGAAGCCAGGCGGTGGTGGCACACTTTAATCCCAGCACTCGGGAGGCAGAGGCAGGTGGATCTCTGTGAGTTCGAGGCCAGCCTGGTCTGTAAGAGCTAGTTCCAGGACAGGCTTCAAAGCTACAGAGAAACCCTGTCTTCAAAAAAACCAAAAATTTAGGAATCTGGAATTGTATTTTGGCAAAAATTTCTACCAGTCATGTTTCACGGATTTTAGTCTCTGCTAGTCGCAGGAAAGTAGAAAACTTGACGTTATACCACTAGATTAAAAGCATTTTCTTAAAAAAATTATAGTTTGCGGGGCTGGCTCAGCGCTTAGGAGCCCTCGCTGCTTTTCCAGAGGACCCAAGTTCAGCCCAGTAGCCATATAGTGGCTCACAACCATCCATATTGAGACCTGGTGCCCTCTTCTGGCCTGCAGGCAGACATAGGCACAACACTGTATACATCATAAATGAATAAATTTTTAAAATAAATTATAGTTTACTAGTGAATCTAATAATGAAATACACTCATTTTAAATCCAAATTTATAAATATTTTCGTTAATTTAAAAAGTGGTTAAATATTTCAAAATTGATTGTAGCAAGGACAATAGTCGAAAAATAGAATAAGTTACTTAAATATTAAGCTTTATTTGTCTTCTACGCTGCTACATGGCAATTATTTAAAAGCACTTATTTGATGTATTTGTTTGTTTGAAGTGCATGTGTACCTGAATGTCAGAGATCAGGTTGGGTGTCTGCCTCTTACCACATTCTACCTTATTTTTGGAAACAGAATCTGTCATTGAATTTGAAGCTATCAGTTGAGCTCGAAATAGCTGAGCAGTGAGCTTCCCCTCTATCCACCCAACTTTACCTCACCCAGTGCTAGTTACAGGCGCCTGCTGCTATGTCTGGTTATCTGTGGTTGCTAGGGATTGAACTCAGGTACTTGTGTACATACCAAGCATTTTCCCACTAAGCCATCTTTCCAACTCCTTAAAATTATTTTTGAAAATGGTTGTTAGGAGCACACAAAAAAAGAATTTTTGTTTTAAAAATTACTTACTTAATTTTTGTTTGCATGAAATGAAGATCTCGCTGTGTTTATTGCCCAGACTGGCCTCAGATTTATCTTCCTGTCTCAGCCTCCTGAGTATCTGAGATAAAGGGTGTTTTGTTTCTTAGTAGAATTGTAGAATAAAAAATGAATTAAAAAAACAAATATTTGCATATTTATGCTATTTCCATGGTTATAAATTATTTCATATATTTGAAGATTTTTAAAACATATTTTGATATTCTTTTGATTATCAAGTGAATTAAAAATGACCCTTAGAACTTATGGTTTAGTTTCTACAACTTAGGACCAAAATTAGAGAATACATTATATAAATTTATAACATATGCTCAATGATGTTGAAATATACGTGTGGGCTGGAGAGATGGCTCAGTGGCTAAGAGCACTTGTTCTTGCAGAAGACCCAGGTTTGCTTCCTGCACCCACATGGTGATTCACAACCATTCTTAACTCCAGTTTCAGGGGATCCAACATCACCCTCTTCTGACCTCTGGGTACCAGGAATGCACATGATGCACATGTATGCGTATAGACCAGCACACATACATAAATTGTAAAAGTGTAAAAATCCATGCTCATCTGAAATATGAGGACCTTAAGGGCTAGGTACACTTAGCTCAGCATGTGAAAGATCCCAAGTTCAGTTTCCAAAAAATAAAACACCTGCTGATAAATGTGGTGGTTTATGTCTTTAATCCCAGCACCCAGCACTCCAGAAGCTGAGACAGAAAAGTTGTGAGTTTTGGTCTAGCCTGGGATACATAGCAAGCCCTTGTCTCTAAAAATGAAAAGAAAGAACAACAACAAAATTAGCAAATATGAAACAAGGTTCATTTTATTTTATTTATTTATTTTTATTTGTTTTGTTTTGAGACCATCTCACTCTGTAGCTCTGCCTAGCCTAGAACTCCCTGTGTAAACTAGACTAGCGTTGAACTCAGAGATTGGCCCGCCTCTGCCTTCCAAGTGCTGGATGCAGTCCTCTTAAATTTCATGTGTTAAGTACAAAACAAATTAAAAGATAGCAAAACAGTTCTCATTGTATTGTAGTACTTTAGTGCTAAATTTTTTTAATAAGCAATCTTGTCAACATGTCTCACCTTTTTCTAGAGAGCAAGAAATCACAGTAATTTTTACACATTAAGAATGTGCCAGATCACTTGAGACGTTCCTGTTAAAAGAAAAGAAGTTGAAACTGTTCCTGGTTTTTTTTTTCTCCAAAATTATATAGGTGTTTGAATTACTGCTTGAAACAATTTTATTTTAAACTCTGTTTCTTTTGTTAATAGCAATTTCGGCATGAAAACCTGGTCAATCTGATTGAAGTTTTTAGACAAAAAAAGAAAATTCATTTGGTATTTGAATTTATTGACCACACAGTCTTAGATGAGTTGCAACATTACTGTCACGGACTAGAGAGTAAGCGACTGAGAAAGTACCTGTTCCAGATTCTTCGAGCGATTGAGTATCTTCACAATAATAATGTAAGTGCTTCAGAGGGAGCCCAGCTGGGACGGCTATGACTCACAAGTGCCATTTGAATAGTTCTGTTTTTAATGGAGGTTAAGATTTTTCTGTGTATAATACTAATAGACTTCCTGAAAATGAAAAGGGGGAGATTGCTTTTTAGCTTATTTGCAGAACCCAAAAACATTTATTGAGTACTTAGTAATTGGAATGATAAGGTGGGCCGAGTCTGAGTACTGTTAGTTTCCCATAGGCTGTGATGAAAACAACTGTGAGGATAACTTAGAGAGGAAATCCTGCTTTGCCTCATGACTTCAGAGGTTTCAGCCCATGATTCTCTTCAAGCATCATGCCTTCAGGAGCATGGGACAGTGTGCTTGTCTCATGGTAGACAAGCAACAGAAAGAGAAAGGGTCCCAGACAAGGTGTATTCCCTCAAGGACATGCCCTGGTGACCCATTTCTTGCTAGACACCCCCCTGAAGTTTCCCGAGCCTCCTCCACCAGCAGCAGTGGGGATTGCTCTTCAATGAAAAGAGCCTTTTTGAAGGGGACACTTCACATCCAATCAATGGCAGATGCTAAAAGCAGTATCAATGATTTGGTTTAAAGGACTCATCATTGAACTGAAGAATATCTCTGAGAAGATGCATCAAAATGTTGAAAGTCAGAGCTGTGCTTTCATGAAGATTCCTTTAAATGAAGGGAGGTTTGGGGCCAGGGGATGGCTATTAGGTAAAGGAATGGTAAGTCAGGTGATCTGTGGAAGGCAGAGCAGGTGTCCATCACTCAATCTGTAAAAAAAATATTGAGAAAAAAGCCCAGCTGATTTCTAGTACTGACTTCAGTGTTAAGTAGTAATGTTGCTCATCAGGTTTTTGGAGACATGGCCTTTATGTAGTCCTTGCTTCCCTGAAACCTGCTTTGTTGACCAGGCTGGCCTTGAACTCACAGATCGTCCTGTCTCTGTCTCCTGAAGGCTGGGATTAAAGGCATATGCTGCCAAAGCCCAGCCTAGCTTAGCAGTTTTTGTGACACTTTATTTTTTTCAGATGCCTGACTTTCTGGAAAGTAGTCAGGAAATAGCGATACATTATATATTCAGAAAAAATAGTAAAGTCCTCAAAAATATTTTGTTTTTGTCTTAGGAAACAAGGTTCTCAATGGGTAGCCCAGGCTAATGCCAAACTCAGTATGCATCTCAGGTTAGCCTCAAGCTCCAGGTCTTTTTGCCTTAGCCTTCAGAGTACTGAGATCATAGTGGGAGCCACCCACTATTGCATCAGCAATCATTTTGTCTAGTTGATACTGGTACAGCTGTATACTCCAGGATTTCTCTAATGGCTTTTACTGCTTTGATTTGCTAATAATGCCACATATTTCATGGCTTTGAAAACTGTTGTGGGGCTGGAGAGATGACTCAGAGGTTAAGAGCACTGACTGCTTTTCCAGATGTCCTGAATTCAATTCCCAGCAACCATATGGTGGCTCACAACCATCAGTAATGAGATCTGGTGCCCTCTTCTGGCCTGAAGGCATACATGCAGGAAGAACCCTGTATATATAATTAATAAATAAGTCTTTATTTAAAAAAGAAAAAAACTATTGTGATAGCAATTGGAGTTGACGTGGTAATGTCCTTGCCAGCTAGATCCAAGATGAGGTAGTTGTGAGACCATCAGGTGCATATAGCGCTGGGCATGTGGTGCAGACTTACTCAGCAGGCCAAGGCAGGAGGGTCACTGCAAGTTCAGGCCAGCAGTGCTGCTTGATCAGACCCTGTCTTAAAAATGAAGCACACTAACCAATCTTCACCACAAGTTATCTCTGAAAACCTACATGATTTGTGGAACCAGAGCTGACAGCACCATGATTCCATATCCTGGAGATTTAACATTCTTTGTTTGATTCATTTGTTTTGAGACATGGTCTCTCACATAGTTCTGGCTGTCCTGGAACTCACTGTGCAGACCAGGCTGGCCTCAAACTCACAGAGAGATGCCTGCCTGCCTTTGCTTCCTGAGTGCTGGCACTGAAGGGCAGCACCACCTTTGTGGGGACAACCTTCTCAAGCTTCCCTTTATTGTCTGTAAAATAGCATGACCTTATGCCACTGACCTTAAATACCAAATAACCCACCAGGTGGTGGTGGTGGCACATGCCTTTAATCCCAGCACTCAGGAGGCAAGAAGCAGGTGGATCTCTGCATTCAAGGCCAGCCTGGTCAGGACTACACGGAGAAACCTTGTCTTAAAAAAACAAAAAAGAAAAAAGAAAATACCAAATAGGGTGTAGATAGAATGTGTCCCCTCCCACACACACATCCTTCAGGCAAATTGAAAATAGTGCATGATGTCTGCAGGGAGTGTGGGCCAAACAGTAAAAGTCTGAGGAAGAGGTAAAGTAAGTTGGATTGAAATGTAGCTAGGATTTGTTAGAGAAGTGCACACAGGCTGCTGCTGTAGGATGGACATCAACTTGAGCAGGAGACTGTTTTTTTTTTTAAATTTATTTATTTATTAAAGATTTCTGACTCTTCCCCACCACTGCCTCCCATTTACCTCCCCTCCCCCAATCAAGTCCCCCTCCTTCGTCAGCCCAAAGAGCAATCAGGGTTCCCTGCCCTGTGGGAAGTCCAAGGACCACCCACCTCCATCCAGGTCTAGTAAGGTGAGCATCCAAACTGCCTAGGCTCCCACAAAGTCAGTACGTGCAGTAGGATCAAAACCCATTGCCATTGTTCTTGAGTTCTCAGTATTCCTCATTGTCCGCTATGTTCAGCGAGTCCGGTTTTATCCCAGGCTTTTACAGACCCAGGCCAGCTGGCCTTGGTGAGTTCCCGATAGAACATCCCCATTCTCTCAGTGTGTGGGTGCACCCCTCGCGGTCCTGAGTTCCTTGCTCGTGCTCTCTCTCCTTCTGCTCCTGATTTGGACCTTGAGATTTCTGTCCGGGAGCAGGGGTCTTTGGAGAGTGGTGATAAATCAGGGAGGAGGAGATGTGATTTGCAGAGTTGCTCTGGACAGGCTTTTTCCCAGAGCACGCACATACAAAATCAAATGTATAAGCATTTCGGAGAAGCCACAAGGGACAGTGAGGATGGCTCAGTAGGTAGCACTTGCTGCCAAGGCTGACAGCACTGCTCCTGCTGGTCTCTCACACACTGGCACACATGCACCCTCCCACACAGAGAGACTCACTAAGAAAGGAGTGTTGTGGTGCTCTCCTTTAATCCCAGTGCTCCAGAGGCAGAGGCAGGCAGACCACAGCCTGGTCTATGTAGGGAGTCCCAGGACAGCCAGCGCTTCAAAGTGAACCCGTCTCAGAAAGGAATGTCAAAATGAGACCCACTGTATTATACAAGTACTATATGCTTACCAAAAAGGAATAAGTAAGTAACCTGATTTAAAGGTTGCTCACCAAGGACTGTGTTGGCTTCTTGGAAGCATAGCTACTGAGTTACTGAGAGCTCTGTTTCCTGTTTCTTTTCTTTTTTGCGTGCCCCTTAGTTTTTGTTGAAAACAGGATATTTAAAATAATGTGACAATTACAGAAATCGGAGTTTTCCATCCCTGTCTGGGCTTATCTCCTCACCCTACACACACCTGCTAAGTAGGTGTGGCTGGTCTGGAACTCATGGTGATGATCAAGTGGCCTGTCACTTGCTGAGGTTCTCCTGCCTTTGTCTGTCCAAGCGCAGGCATGATGGGAAGGTGTGAGTCGCAATACTCACTTTTTTTTTTTAGTTAATTTTCCTGTACTTTAAATAAGAATTGTATTTATATCTTATGTATGACTGTTCTGCATGTACACCTGCAGGCCAGAAGAGGGCATTAGATCTTACTATATAGATGGTTGTGAGCCACCAAGTAGCTGATGGGAATGGAACTGAGGACCTCTGGAAGAATAGCCAGTGCTCTTAACCCCTGAGCCGTCTCTCCATGCCCCACTTTAAAGTTCTGAGTCTGCAATCTTTGTCATGTCTGCTCAGTTCAGTGGTCGGCTAGTGAATGGACGGAGTTTTAAAATGAACTCACTTCCTTTTCCTCAGTCCTAGTTTCTACCCTCAGCTCCAGGAAACCGGTAACTCTTATAGATAGGCTATATAGATAGGCTCTTATATGGATAGGCAATATAGATTATAGAGAGGCTCTTGCTGAAAATTTCTCATAAATGAACAGTCTTACACATGGTTTCCTTCACCTTAGCGTAATTTGCACTGGGACATGTATTGGTACTTTGTTCTGTTTAGATGTTGAGTGCTTCTCTAGTGAAGATACAGCATACACCAGCTGCTGGACTTTTAGCTTGTTTCTAGTTCAGGCCTTATGAATAATATTGCTGTCAACAGCTTTGTTTTATTTATTTTGGTGGTAGTAGTTTTAAATAAACTGCCACTGGGCAGTGGTGGCGCATGCCAACTCTCAGCACTCAGGAGACAGAGGTAGGCAGATCTCTCTGAGTTCAAGATTAGCCTAGTCTACAAAGCGATTTCCAGAGAAACCCTGTCTCCAAAAACTAAAAAGAAAGGAAGAAGCCGGGTGGTGGTGGCGCACACCTTTAATCCCAACACTCAGGAGGCAGAGGCAGGCGGATCTCTGTGAGTTTGAGGCCAGCTTGGTCTACAAGAGCTAGTTCCAGGACAGGCTCCAAAAGCTACAGAGAAACCCTGTCCTGGAAAGAAAGAAAGAGAGAGAGAAAGCAAGAAAGAGCCAAACTGTTTTCCTAAGTGACAGTATCAACTTGGAGTCTTGTGAATGCTGAGCAGGGTCTGTGCCCCTGAGGTACACTCCCAGCCCTGTGACTGTTACTTTTATTGTAGCTAGTGTAATAGTTATACCATGGCATTATTTTTGAATTGGGTGAAGCATACTGTCTTTATTCACAGATAACATGTTATTTACATAGAAAATTCCCACAGCAAAGAAGATCATTTCTAAATCCTTTTTTTTTTTCTTTTTGTTCTTTTTTGGTTTCTCAAGACAGGGTTTCTCTGTGTATCCCTGGCTGTCCTGGAACTCACTTTCCAGACCAGGCTGGCTTCAAACTCAGAGACCCTACTGCCTCTGCTTTCCAGGACCTGGGATTAAAGCTGTGCACCACCACCATCCAGATGCTTTTCTATACATTAGCAACAAATAATCAGAAATTAGACTTTTTAGGGTACAGTTAGGGTCTGGTAATGTAGATTAATTGGTAGAGTGCTTGTATGTGCTTGGTTTCATCCCCCCACACTACATAGAACTGAGCGTGGTGGCACACTCCTGAAATCCCAGCACTTGGGAGCTGGAGGCTGGAGAGTCAAAAACATGTGGGCGGAATACAGGAAACCCTGCCTGAAGTAAAATGAAATGCCATTCATAGCATCAAAATAACATATAACCTAATAAACCTTGACAAAAGATGTGTGAGATCTGGACGCTGGAAGGTAAACTTGTAGAGAAGTACTGACGCAGTCTGACCGGTGGAAAGACAGTTTTTAATGGACTGTGTGACAGCGACAGGCCAGAGTGTCTCAAGTCCACGAACCACATTCAGACGTCAGCTCCAGAAAGACTAAAGACGCTAATGTGAGGCCCGAGGCTAAGGCTAAAAGAGAACGGTTGTGTGACAGATGAGACCAAGCTGAAGAGCTTGAATGTAGTCAAGGGAAAATGTATAGCACGAGGAAACAGCTTCCAGAATGGGAGAAAATGGAAACCAATGAAGAGCTCAGATAACTCAATAAGTAAATAGAATAACTAAAGATGAGCGAAGGAAAGAAGTAGGCCAGGCATGTAGGCAGACAGGTATATGAAGAAGTACTCAAAATCTGTCATCATCAGAGAAATTTAAACGATGGAAGTCACTGCTCGAACGGTCATTGCAGAAGTGGCAATTAGAATGTGGAGAAAAGGAAACCTGTGCAGATGCCAGTGTAGTGTAAATTCCTTGGACACTACAGTGTCCTCAGTGTTTAAAGCAGGAACTTGTGGGTAACCACAGTTTCTCTTCTGGGTGTGTATGAAAAGGAAACATTAGTTGGTCCAAGATACCTGCATTTGCTTTCACCGTAGCACATTCACAGCAAGCAAGTGTGCCGTGCATCTAAGTGTCCGGCTGTAGGTGAGTGGGCGCAGAGAATGCAGTGCGGTACTGAGACTTGATGATAGGGCGCAGTAACATCTGGGACAGTGTGGGTAAATTGAGGATATTATGTCACACGTAAAATCTTAAAAAGGAGGCTGAGAGAGATTCCTGTCAAAGCCTACCAAATTTCAGATAGAAGTAAGTTCACAAGATTTTTTTTTTTACAACATGGTTGCTCTAGTAAGTGACTATCATGTTATTGAAATTGCTAAGAATAGATTTGAAGGTCTTTTGTGCAAAGATTAGGTGAGAGGTTTGTCTAATTTAGTCACTCCTTGGTGGACTTTTTGTTTTTTTGTTTTTTTTTGAGACAGGATATCTCTATTTAGTTTTGGCTGTCCTGGAACTCACTATGTAGACCAGGCTGACTCTAATTCACAGTGATCCTCCTGTCTTGAACTTCCAAGTGCCAGGATTAAAGGCATGTGCCACCATGCCCAACTTTTTTGGTATATTTTAATAAAGTATATGCAACTTATATATGTAATTTATGTCAGTTAAAATATTCTCTTATTCTGTAAAACATTATTAAAAAGAGAGGTGCTGAGACTGAAATGGGTCAGTCAGTATTTGGAAAGAAACACATGAGTTTGTGGTCTCCAGAACCAAGTGATGGAAATGGTCCGCAGGGAGAGACAGAGCCTAGTGGAGTGCAAAGTTATGCTTGCCTACATAGTGAGTTGAAGGATAGCCTGGGTTCCATGAGACACTGTCTAAAAACAAAAGCAAAAACAAAAACACAACAGGAAGCCAGAGGAGTGAGATGGAAGAGGGGAGAAAGGAGAGAGAAGAGCATGATATTGCGAATGGAAAGTGGGAGACAGTCCTACATTTAAGGGACAGAGAAAGAAAGTTCTAGTCACAGAAGAGACTTTTTGGTCCCAGGACTGCAGAGTAGAAGAGTGTTTGATAATATACTCACACTAAGAAATGAGTAAGGTAAAGGATTGAGAGGGGTCCATCAGTGTGGAAATAGTGTCAATGACTTTGTCCAGAGCAGTTGAGTACAGCATGGTCAGCAGAGGACAGGGTAGTGCACAGTATTCTTCCGAGAACTGGCTGTGAAGACAGTGGGTACCAACTGGGTCAAAGCAAAGCTCAACTTTGTCTCACCAAGTCCCTTTCATTCTTAGAGTGGGATTTATGTAGCAGACTTTCTTGGACTGCCAGCCCCCAAATCATGACACAGAGATGACTTATTAGTTATGAATATTCGGCCTTAGCTTAGGCTTGTTCTGCTAGCTCTTACAACTTAGTTTTATCTGCTTCTCTTCAGCTATGTTTTGCCTCAGGGCTTTTTTAGTTTTCTTTCATTCTGTGTGTCCTACTTTTTCTGCTTTTCCATGGGAGTCTGGCTGGCAGCTGCCTGGCTGCCCCCAAGTGTCTCCCTTTCTCCCTTGTTCTCTCCTTTTCTCTCTAGAGCCTAGATTCCTCCTCCTACTTATTGTCTTTGCCCGATAGCCCTGCCTATCCCTTTCCTGCCTAGCTATTGGCCATTTAACTTTTTATTAGACCAATCAGGTGCCTTAGGCAGGCACGGTAAAACAGCAACACATCTTTACGTAATTAAATCAGTGCAGTATAAATAAATGCAACACATCTTTACATAATTAAATCAGTGCAGTATAAACAAATGCAACAAATCTTTACATAATTAAATCAGTGCAGTATAAACAAATGCAACACATCTTTACATAATTAAATCAGTGCAGTATAAAAAAATGCAACACATCTTTACACAGTTAAAGTAATGCTGCACAACAGATTTACCTCTTCTGTGTCTGTTTTCGCTCCATTTTGTTTGGAAGTGATGGATGGAGAATATGTAACGTTTTTTTCCATGATTAGGAAATGTCTACCCTATCTTAGCTGTGAGCTAGACTTGTCTTTGAAGAGTTTTGGATTCTATATAAAATGAAACCCCGTTTTAATATATCAAATTTTCTGTTTGTTTTTAGATTATCCATCGAGATATAAAGCCTGAGAATATTTTAGTCTCCCAGTCAGGGATTACTAAACTCTGTGATTTTGGGTTTGCAAGGACATTAGCAGCTCCTGGGGATGTCTACACAGACTATGTGGCCACTCGCTGGTACAGAGCTCCAGAACTGGTGTTAAAAGATACCTCTTACGGAAAGTACGTATACTTTGGGAACTCGCCTGGCTTCTCCCAGGTGTGTCATTTTTCCCTCTGCTATTCACTCCCTGCCATCTGTGTCTGGCTTTGGTCAAGGAAGAGGGATACCTTTAAAGGCACCCAGAGGACGCTGTGGGCACCTGTGCTGCTGGTGACTTTGTCTGTACTTACACTGGAGGGTTTAAATGGTGGCAGCTGCTGGAGGCCTGGGCAGTTCTTGCACTGTTTCCAGGCTTGCGTTAGTCTGTGCCAACACTTCTAGCAGTGTTGTCTCCTCTCTTGATGTTCTGCTTCTGTGTTCTGCAACGGTTAAAAGAAATTATATATTTTTTATTTATAGGTGGGGCCCTTGGTATGCATATGGGGGTTAGAGGACAACTTGCAGGACTTAGTTCTTTCCAACTGTGTGGGATCCAGCTCAGGTTTTCAGACCCAGTGGCAGGTATCTTTGCCTGCTGAGCCCCTCCAAAGATTCTTCAATCATTTACCATAATTCTGTGTTGAAACAGGATCTACCAAGTTTCCTCTTTCTTGGAAAAAGTGACACCTTCCTTATGAAGACTGGAAGTAATGCTTTTTAAAAATTGTGCTATTCTAGATGACTCATAAAGGAGCACAGTCCCTCAGTCAATATCCTACAGTGAAAAATTGTTTGTAAATAATACCACTTAAACATTATCCCTCCCCATTCCATCCCTTGGTTTTGAAACAGGGCCTCACTGTGTAGCTTTGGATGGCCTTGAACTCAATATGTAGACTAAACTGGCCTCCAAACCACAGATACCTGCCCATTTGTGCCTCCCCAGTGCTGGGATTAAAGACATACACCATCACTGTGGCTTTCCCCCTTTGTGGGTTTATTAATCAGATAAAATAATGGCATCTATTGGGACGTTTTCTTGCATGTACACACTTTGGTTGTGTTCATCTGTCCTTAGTTTCTCTTCTCTTTCTCCACTTCTGCTGGCAAACATTCTTTCTTTTTAGCTTTGATCTGATATAAACGTCTTTAGAGTAGTTGTTATACATATTTGTTCCTGACAAAGTAATTTACTCTGTGGTAAATTTTTTTCCAGACCAGTAGACATCTGGGCTTTGGGCTGTATGATCATTGAGATGGCCACTGGCAATCCCTACCTTCCTAGCAGTTCAGATTTGGATTTGCTCCACAAGATTGTTTTAAAAGTAGGTAGGTATTACTGAAATACTCTGCTACCTGTCTAAGTAACTGCTTCCAGATCAGCCATGCCTGATGCCCATATTTAGGGAATGAACACTAAGGAAGTGCCTTGTGAGACAGGTGATGGCAGATGGGTTTCCATGCTGATATAGAAGGCAGAAAATTGTTTTGACAAATAATAACTTCTTTGCAGGGACTCAAAGGCACATGTTAATCATTGCTGCTAAGAAAAGTATATGGTGTAGTATACTTCACCAAGTTAGCTCTCCAGCCCCAGTACTATATATTTTTTAAAGTTGTGCTGTTCACCAGGCAGTGGTAGCTCACGCCTTTAATCCCAGCACTTGGGAGAAAGAGGCAGGAAGATCTCTGTGAGTTTGAGGCCAGCCTGGTCTACAGAGAGAGTGCCAGGTCGGTTTCCAAAGCTACACAGAGAAACCCTGTCTCAAAAAACAAAGCAAAAAAAAAGTTGTTCTGTTCTAGAACTAAAAGATGTTGGCCTCTGCAAACAGCTTCTCTTCTGGACAGGGACTTTAAATAGTAAAGTGTAGACGGACATTTCTGTCCCACCTGGTCCCACAGTCATTCAGTCCCAAAGAAACACACAGAGGCTTATATTAATTATAAACTATTTGGCTTATTGATCAGAATTATTACTAACTACCTTTTACAACTTAAATTAACCTATATTTCTTATTTATATTTAGCCCTGTGGCTTGGTGCCTTTTATCAGTGCAGCATTCTCATCCTGCTTCCTCTGCATCTGGCTGCTAACTGCATCTCTGCCTTTCCTCTTCCCAGAATTCTCCTGGTCTGCCACACCACCTATACTTCCTGCCTGGCTTCTGGCCAATCAGTGTTTTATTAAACCAGTACAAGTGACAAATCTTTACAGTGTACAAGAGCATTATCCCACAGCAGTAAAGTTTAGTCAGATGCTTTTTTAAAGTATTGTTGATAGAAAATCAATTATTTGCTAATAATCCTTTTAATAAGATCTATTTTGTTTTAATTATGTGTGCATCTCTGTGTGGGTGTGTGGGTATGTGCATTTAAGTGCTGGTGCCCAGAGACCAAAAGTGTGTTGGATCCCCTGGAGTTGGAGTTATAGCAGTCAACTGTAAACCACCAGAGGTGGGCGCTGGAAACCAAATCTGGGTCCTCTGGAAGAGCAGAGTGTCCTTAGCCTCTGATCCATCTCTTCCAGTCCCTTTAAATCATCCTCTTTATCATCAAACCCACAGTAGAAACCATGTAGCTAAATAATGTGTTCAATGATATAATTGATGAAAAATAAAATTTAAAAGTATACTTGATAAGAGTTTAATTATCTTACAATCTGTTTTAACTACTGTCTTAGATACTTTCCTGTTGCTCTGCAATATCTGATAAAGCAATTTAGGAGACATCTGTTTTATTTTGACTCAAAGCCCTGGGTTACAGTCCATCAAAGAGCAGAAGTCCCAGCAGGAGCTTGAGGGTCTGATTACATCATACCCACAATCAGGAACAGAGACTAACAAATGCTTTCAAGTTGCTTGACTCCCTTCCTCCATTTCTACAATCCTGGACCCAGCCAGGGAACATTGCCATCCATAATAGGGGGTCAATTAATGTAATCAAGATATTTCCCCAGGACATCCCCAGAGGCTTCCTGGTAGTTGGCAGTTAACACTGATCACCATAACTACCTACACATTTGGAAGTTAGCTTTGCACACAGTATTTTAATCTGAAGGAGGAACTTGAGGAGCCCCAAGTGTGTTGGAGAAACTCTTCATAAACACATCATTGCAGGATTCTGAGGAAGAAGGTGCTGGGAACAGTCATCAAAGCAGTAAAACCTGGATTAACATTGATTGAAGATGATTTAAGATTAATAAAAGACAGAGTCTTGAAGCATCCACTTTATGTGCCTTTTTAAAGTCCTGTTATGAGACTGTGCTAGAAGAGAGCTGTCGCCGGGCGGCGGTGGCGCACGCCTTTAATCCCAGCACTCGGGAGGCAGAGGCAGGCGGATCTCTGTGAGTTCGAGGCCAGCCTGGTCTACAAGAGCTAGTTCCAGGACAGGAACCAAAAGCTATGGAGAAACCCTGTCTTAAAAATCCAAAAGAAAAAAGAAAAAAAAAAAAAGAAAGGAGAGCTGTCTGCCTCTGCTTCCTGAGTGCTGGGATTAAAGATGTATGTTACCACCACCTGGCTTTATTGTTCTAGCTATTTTTTTTAAATATTTATTTATTTATTATGTATACAATATTCTGTCAGTGTGTATGCCTGCAGGCCAGAAGACCCCATTACAGATTGTTGTGAGCCACCATGTGGTTGCTGGGAATTGAACTCAGGACCCTTGGAAGAGCAGGCAATGCTCTTAACCTCTGAGCCATCTTTCCAGCCCCTTGTTCTAGCTATTTTGAGTATGGTTTTGGTTCAAAAGCTGCTGAACATCTGACAGTTAAACCATTAAGATACAAACAGAGAAGCATGTCAAGATGGGTGGTGGTGGCACATGCCTTTATTAATCCCAGTATTTGGATGGCAGAGGCAGGTGGATCTCTATGAGTTCGAGGCTAGTCTGGCTTACAGAGCAAGTTCCAGGACAGCCAAGAACAGGTAAGGCTATAGAGAAACCCTGTCTCGAAAAGCCAAAAAGAAATAAATAAAGAGAAACATGTTAAATTTTAAAGAACTTTTGCTGGTAATTATATATTATGTCTTAGAGTTTGGTGTAAAAGAACCACACTGTTTTATGTGTTTTGCTGCCTCTCAACAGCTTCCTGGAGGAAACCTCAATTTTTAAAACTTACTATTTTTTTTTATAGAGTTGGAGATTGAACCTAGGACTCCACACTTCCAGATAAGCACTCTACTGCAGAGCTGTGTCCCTAACCTAGAACCTCTGTTTTTATGACATGTTTAGATATTTTCTTTCAACTGTAAAATAAAAACTGTGCTTTTCCTTTTCTCCCCATTCATAACTGAGAGCACATCATGTGGGATTTCCACTGGGAGCAGTTTTGTGACTCAGACACTTGGTTCTCGTTTCAGGCAACCTGACCCCGCACCTGCACAATATCTTTTCCAAGAGTCCTATCTTTGCCGGGGTGGTTCTTCCTCAAGTTCAACACCCAAAAAATGCAAGAAAGAAATACCCAAAGCTCAACGGATTGCTGGCAGATATAGTTCATGTATGTTAAGACATTAAGAATGACTTAAGAATTTGAAGAAATTATAATAACATGGAGTCTTTTCTTCTCTTTGGTGTTAGAAATGGAGCCCACAGCTGGGCAAGCATTTACCACTGAGCCGCATTCCCAGCAATAATACAGCTTTAAAGTGTTACTTGAGATTCCAGAAAGACTCCTAAAGTGATATTTATGTTACATATTACATAGAAATTAATAGAAAGAAATTAAAATTTAAGACATTGAGGGATAAATTGGGAACACTTGAAGGACTTTCCATGTTTCTCACCACCTTTGGCATCTGGTCTACTAGGCTAGGGCTGTTCTTTGTCCTGTGCTGTCCTGACTGTCTACGGAGGCATCTGTTGGCAGTTATATGAATGTTGCTGAGGGTGCACCAGTACCCAATTCACAAATTGGAGAAAACAAAAACATTTTAAGAGGGGTGTGTGTGTGTGGTATACATACTTGACAGTACGTAGTATGAGTGTGTGTGCACATAGATTCATCTTGTATGCATGTATTTCTAGAAGCCAAAACTTGATATCAGGTGTCTTTCTTTAAAGTTCTCCATGCTTTGTGGTTGTTATCTGAACAGAATCTCTTTCTGGAGTATAGTTCAGTGACACAATACACAACTAACATTTACAGGGTCCTGAGTTCAGTATCCAGCTTGGGGGAGGGGTAGAGGGAGGAAGACAGGAAGGAGAGAGGGAGATATCCCTTTCAGTGAACCTAGTATAGCTATAGTATAGGTATAGTATAGTATAGCTGCTGACCAATGAGCTTAATCCACGTGTCTCCTCCTCACTGGTGCTGGATTACAAGTCATGCAGCCATGGCATCTAAACTCAGGTCCTTAGGCTTACTGGCACTTTACCAAGTCAGCCATCTCCCTAACCCTTGTTTCTTACCTTAAGTTTAAATTGTATTTAAACTAAGTAGCATGTGAACACAGTACATAGGTGGGTTTATTATGAATCTTCTTGTATTTCTCTAACCAGCTGGTTTCTTATACCAAGAGGAGTGAAGATGCTTATTTCTAGATGAGGGTTGTATGACTGTTGTTGTAGAAAATTAGTTTAAGATGTGTTACATTTGTTTATGCTGTGAAATATTTGTTTAATGATGCAAAGATGTGTTGCATTCTTTTATGTTGCGTTTGTTTGACTCTGGAAAGCTGTGTTACTTTGCCTGCCTCAAACACCTGATTGGTCTTAATAAAGAGCTGAATGGCCAATAGCTAGGCAGGAGAGGGAGGATGGGTGGGACTAGTGGGCAGAGAGAATAAGTAGAAGAAAAAGAAGAAAGGAGCAAGAAAAGGAGGAGAGGAGGATGCCAGGGTTCAGTCACACAGCCATACAACCAGCCACGGAGTAAGAAAGAAAGATATAGAATAAAGAAAGGTAAAAATACAAGGCCCAGAGACAGAATGTAGAAGAGAATTGGGATAATTTGAGTTAGAAAAGCTGGCTAGAAACAAGCCAAACAGGTCGGGCATTCATAAGTAAGAGTAAGTCTGTCTATTTATTTGGGAGTTTGGGTGGTAGGCCTCCAAAAAGTAAAAACAAAAGCAAAACCTACCCCCCCCAAAAAAAAACAATTAAAGACTGCAGTAAAGACATTTCTCTAACATACAGCTCTTTTTTTTATTTTTAAATTTATAGGTGTGACTGTTTTGCCTGCATGTATGCCTGTGTACCGCGTGTGGACCTGGTGTCCACATGGGCCAGAAGAGGGTGTTGGGTGTGATGGGATTGGAGGGATTGGAGGGATTGGAGTTCCAGATAGTATCCATTTGCCTCTGCCTTCAGAGTGTTGCAATCAAAGACTGTACCATCACCACCTTGCCTGGCTCTTAATCCCTGAGCCGTCTCTCCAGCCCAATGTACAGTTCTTACACATGATTTCTGGAATTTCAGAACAAGTATAATGAAGTATCTTCTAAAAAGAGGCTCTTGGTTCACATGGTAGTTGTTTGTTTTATAGACATGGGGGACTGAATTCTGTCCCCCAGAACCTAGGTAAAAAGTTGGGGCACTGGTATGCACCAGTGATCTCAGTATTGAGGAGGTGGAAAAAAAGAGGATCCCGAGGCTTGTTGACTGAGTTGGCCAACTTCTGGTTCAGTGAGAGGCACTCTCAAAAAATGAAGGTGAAGAGTGATGGAAAACACCTGACATCAACCTCTGGTCTTCACACATGAGTACATGACTGCACATATGAACATGTACACCACACAGACATACACTCAGTTTCATTTGGTGAATTTCTGTATGTGTGTACACTCTCCCATCTCACCAGTACTTCCAGTGCTGTGTACACTGTTGTGTAGCAGAGCCATAGAATTGTTAGTTCATACTATACATTTTGAAGATAATAGAAGCACCTTTCTATAGTTTAACTCTGGTCCTTCCACCTTGACAAGGGCCAGCAAGATGGGTCAGGAAGTCAAAGGGCTTGTTGTGCAAGCCTGGTACCCAGAGTTCTTCCCAGGAAGCCACATAAAGGTGGAAGAGAAAGCCAAGTTCACGGTGTTGTCCTCTGACTTCCACACATGTGTTGTGGCATGCGTCCTCCACAAAATGAAATTAAAGTTTTGGAAGATGTTAGGTGATTTAGCATCTATGGGGCTTGGTCTCCTTGAGCGTACACAGGTAAGAGTCCTGTGATGTGAACTGTAGGGATGACCCGGGAAGTAGGCAGCAGGCATTGGAAAGAGCAGGTACCTTTCATTCACATCCTGTCTTCACTGTTTGTTTGGTTTTTCGAGACAGGATTCCCCTGTGTAGCTTTGAAGCACGTCCTGGAACTCACTCTGTAGACCAGGCTGGCCCCAAACTCACGGAGATCTGCCGGCCTCTGCCTCATTGTTTGAAAGAATGGTTCTCTGCAACAGCCCAAGTCTTTAGTGACATGTGGATCATTGTGTGCAGCTCCCTTTTCACAACTTGTCCCATAAGTTGCCTTTGGGCTTTGGTCCTTTCCTCAGCTGAGGTCGTCCCAGGGCAGAGAAGAGCAGTTCATTGACTTTTAAATTTTTTTTAATTGTATCTTTGTTGGTGTTTGCCTGCCTGTATGTGTGCGCGGTATCTGAAGAGGACAGAGAGGGAATTGGAGCCCCTGGAACTGGAGGTATAGATGACTGTGAACTGCCATTTGAGTGCTGGGAATTGAAGCCAGCTCTTCTGGAAGAGCATCTAGTGCTCTTACTACTGAGCTCTCTCCAGCCCCGGAAGAGAGTGGCTTTAAGACTGGGCTTTTGGAGGGCTGAAAGCTTCAGGATTAACTGAGTTGCCTTATGCCACAAAGGGAGCAAGCAGCATTTGGAGTCAGCTGATACGATGGGCTAAAATCCCCATTAGGCAAATCCCTGATCATGCTTCTGGATCTGCACAGTATAAATTATTGCCCGTGAGCTTCTCCTTCATACAGGGCTGACAGAAGGAACTAAAGAAACTAAATGATTTCTGTTAACCTAATGCAACCTTATGATTTTATTACAATTTTTGTGTAAGAGAAATGCTGGGGATTGAACCCAGAGCCTTGCGTGTGCTAGGCTAGGACACTACTAAACTGTACCCTGTATTCCTAATTTCTGCTAATTACAGCATGAGCAGGCTGATTTTATTTTGACTACAAACATGTAACTTTTAACCTGTAATAAAATTTTCACTAACTGGTGAGATGGTAGCTGGTAGAGACACAGCAACATCGAGAGAGAGAGAGAGAAAGAGAGAGAGAGAGAGAGAGAGAGAGGAGAGAGAAATTTGCCTATTTTCAAACTCTGTTAGCTCTGGTTAATTACTTTGTCATGTGACAAATCAACTTCTTATCCTGTTAAAGACTTAATTTTAGAGACAGAGCCCATACTTCATCTTTTATTAATCCTTTCTATTCTCTAGGCTTGTTTACAAATTGACCCTGCGGAGAGGATATCGTCTACTGATCTTTTGCGTCACGATTACTTTACTAGAGATGGATTTATTGAGAAGTAAGTATGTGTGGTCTTTCCTACTAGACGGGGAATCGCTAGATAGGAAAATGTTACAGAACAAAAGTATTCAACATAACAGAATCCTAACAGAGTTACTATGCCAGGCATTGATCAGGTGTATGGTAGTCTGGCGGGTGACATGGGTGAAGATTCACTGCAGTAACTGCAGCTAGCATTCGTTGCAGGGACACAAGGTTGTAGGCCGAGTACCAAGATCCCATTCTACAGACTGCAGCCTCATCTCAGGACAGAGGTCATATTTAATATAAGAATTAAGGATTTATTTTATTTTGATTTATGTGTATGTGCACATGTGTGTGGGTACCTATAGAAGTTAGAAGAACAATAGACTTCTTGGAGGTGGAGTTACAGGCAGTTGCGAGCTAGTTAACATGAGTGCTAAGTAACAAATTCTGTGTAAGTCCAGAGACACAAACAGCTTCTGTATCAAAACTCAAGTGGACATTTTATTAAATCCACATCTCAAAGGGAATCTAATGTAAGTCTGTTTTGTAAGGTTTTTTATTTGTTAGCTTTTTGGGATAGGGTTTCTTTATGTAACCCTGGCTGTCCTGGAACTAGCTCTGTAGACCAGGTGGGCCTGGAACTCACAGAGATCCACCTGCTTGGTTGTCTTTGTTTTGTGTTTTGTTTTTGTTCTTTTGAGATAGGGTTTCTCTGTGTAACCCTAGCTGTCCTGGAACTCCTTTGGGGACCAGATTGGCCTTGAACTTGGACACTTGTCTTCCTAGCACTCAGGAAGCTGAAGCAAGAGAATTTTATGCTTGACACCAGCTTGGGCTACACAGTGATAGCCTGTCTCACACACACACACACACACACACACACACACACACAAAATCAAAATAATGCCATCTCTTGGTATCAGTTACTTTTTTAGCATTGTTTATGCTTGATTGAATAGTTCTATTGAGATAAACCATATAAGTAAAACGACAGTTGGAAAATATTGCTTGATTCATCAGATTTATACCAGAGCTGAGAGCTAAATTATTACAAGAAGCAAAGGTTAATTCCTTCATAAAGCCAAGAGAGAATTTTAAAGAAAATGAACCTGTGAGAGACGAACGGAAACCAGCTTTTACCAACACGCTGCTTTATGCAAAGGTGAGCTGACCTTGCTTTCTGCTTCCGCCTTTGTGGTTGTATCATAGTCGGGGCTCTCATGACTTGGATTCTCAACACACCTATTTCAGGAAACGGACAAAGACAGAAGACCCAAGGAGGTCAAAGTCAGAGTTCTTAAGGCCAAAGGAGGGAAAGGCGATGTCCCAGACCTGAAAAAGATAGAGTGTGAAGGTGAACACCGCCAGCAGGGCCCAGCCGATGACATGCACGCCTTGTCTCAGGATAGAAAGCCCGCCATTGCTGAAGTGCCAAACCCTGTCAATCCCAGCATGCACCCTGATGGTGTCAAAGAAGACCCATATGCTGGAGGTTGTATGATAATGCCACCCATCAACCTGACAAGCAGTAATTTGATGGCTGCAAATCTCAATGCAAACCTCTCCCACCCTAATTCACGGTGAGCTGGGGCAGAAGGGAGGCCTAAGTACAACATTTTTCTGTAGGATGGCATTTCAAAGGCTTACTTCAATAGTGTCAATGTAGACTGAATTTGAAGATCTGTTAAAATGATAGTCATGTAGTCGGCATTCACTGAGTAGATTCTGGAAATGTCACATGAAAAGTTTTTTCTTCTTTGTTATGTAGGTATTTAATTTCTTTTGAGACAAATTGCCACAGATCCCAGACTAGCCTAGAACTGGACTTTGTAACCCAAGCTGGCCCCCTACACATGGTCGGCCAGCCTCAGCCTCCTCAGGAATTCGACTACAGATGTGTACCACCACAGCCAACTTAGCTGTCTAATTGTTCGCTGGTGTATTTGGGGATAGCTTTAAAATATTTATTTTATGTATGTTTTCCTGAGTATATTCATTTGTACCACATTTATTCAGTGTCTGTGCAGGCCACAGGTCATCAGATCCCCTGGAGCTGGAGTTGTAGGCAGTTGTGAGCCAACTAGTATGGATGCTGGGAACTGAACCCAGGTCCTCTTCATGGACAATACTGACTTTTAACTGCTAAACCAAGAATATGTTTTTTAATAATTTATTTTTTAGCAGGCATATGGTGTCACTGCATAAGAGAGGAGGAGGCAGGAAACTGGCCACATGTAGGAATGACATACATGCAAACAAGGGAGAGAGATTTCAGGGCAGGCGCCAGGTTCCTTTCTGAAGACGCTCTTTTCTGGAGTGGCCTTCAAGTGTAAGAATGTGTCCTAAGGAGGAAAATCATCGGTCTGGCTTGAGATTTAGTCACCTCCTTTCTGAGAGTCCTCACCACTTACAGGCTCCACCCCTCTCAATCCTACTTGCTGGGAATAAGCTTCCAGTCTGGACCATTGGAGGACAAACCGTAGTAACCACAGCACTCAGTACTGCAAAGTAAGATTTAGTTCTGCCTCACACAGAGTCTCTCAGTGAAAAAAGAATAGTCCAAAATTAGTTCTTCATAGCAGATAGCCTTTCAATATTAAGTATTTTGGTAGGAAAATGGTATATCAGGTCAGTTTTAGATTTAACTTGTGCTGTAGGTTGAGAGACTGATGTTGTGTTTAACGTGGGAAGTGGTAATGAACAGTGCAGACAATTGGCCTCTTTGCAAACCTACACTGTGAGGTGCAGTAACTCAGCTAGATTTTCACAGACTGATTTAGGCTGCAGGTTGTGAGGAAGAGGGCTTGTCTGTGTAGTCTAAAGGCTCATCAGACCATTGGCTGCAATAATCCCAGGTGTTCTTGAGGTGACCCCGGGTAGCCATGGTTGTAAGTCACTCTCAGGCCATAATTGAGAACTTGAAAGGTTAAGTTATCCACGGTTAGAACAGATCCAAGGGAGCAGATGGCCACAAGAGGAACTTCATGACATGTTTTCACCAGCAGTTAGCCATGCGCTGCTTCTGTCCCTGCAGTTCTCAGAACTCAAGAACTGACGATTGCTTTTGACACTCAGTGTTCTAACAGTACCAGTTTTGTTTTATAAGCCAGGCTCGGGTTATGTTGCCCAGGCTATACTGAAGTTAACAGCCCTGAACCAGCCACTTGAGTGTCAGGGTTATAGGTGTTTGCAGCCAGGTCCACCTATTATAACTTACTTGTTCTTCAAACTAAAGCAAGGGCAATTCTTGGGGTTCTAATAACTTCTCCTTTATCTTTAATTGATAGGTTAACTGAAAGAGCAAAAAAGAGACGCACTTCTTCACAAACCATTGGACAGACTTTGTCTAATAGCAGACAGGAGGACACAGGTCCCACGCAAGTAAGGCAAGATGCTAGTCATTAAAATATGGTCTCTTGAGGCTAGGGAGAGGTCTCAGTCAGTAAAGTGCTAGATGAGCAAGCATGAGGATCAGAGTTTGGATCCACAGCATCCATGTGCCAAGCTGGGCACAGTGGTCCATGCCTGTAAGCCTAACACTGGGGAGTCAGAGAGGAGGATCCTTAGGGCTTTGCTGGCATTCCAGTCTAGCCAAATTGTAAGCTACAGGTGTAATGAGAAACCATCTTCAAAATAAGGTGGAGTTATCCAGAAAGACATGCATATATACCCTTGCACACATATGAACATGTACACACATACATGGAATGAATACATTAATAAAATATGACTTCTTTCAGGAATTTCTACCTTTTTTTCTTAAGTTCTCACATTAAAAATCTTCCTTCCTACCTACCCTTTCTCTCTTTCTTCTTTTCCTATGCTGGGACAAGTCTGAGGCTTTGCATGTGCTAAAGGAGTCCCCACAGAGAGTCGCACCACCCACACATGCTTCCCTCCTGCTTCGTGATTGCACTTTGTTTGGTTATCTTTTTTCTTTTCTTTTTCTTTCGTATTTTTGGTTTTTCGAGGCAGGCTTTCTCTGTAGCTTTGGAGCCTGTCCTGGAACTAGCTCTTGTAGACCAGGCTGGCCTCGAACTCACAGAGATCCACCTGCCTCTGCCTCCCAAGTGCTGGAATTAAAGGCATGCGCCACCACCACCCAGCTTGGTTATCTTTTTTAAAAAGTCTTTTAGATTTATCTATTTTATTTATTTATTTTTTAAAAATGTTTATTTATTATGTATACAATATTCTGTCTGTGTGTATGCCTGCAGGCCTGAAGAGAGCACCAGACCCCATTACAGATGGTTGTGAGCCACCATGTGGTTGCTGGGAATTGAACTCAGGACCTTTGGAAGAGCAGGCAGTGCTCTTAACCACTGAGCCATCTCTCCATCCCTTATCTATTTTATTTTGTATGTGAATTCTTGCTGGTGACTGTGGAGACCAGAAGAGAGCATTGGTTCCCCTGGATCTGGAGTTAGGCATGGCTGTGAGCCTGAGAACTGAACTCAGGTCCTCTGCAAGAGCAGTAACTGTTCCTAGCCGTGGAACCGCCTCCCCAGCCCCGTTCCTTTCTCTAGTTTGTGTACTAATGTGTTCCCTTGACCTTTACAAATCACAGAACTTGTGTTTTCTCTTCCAAAAATACCTTTATGGATCAAAAACACTGCCAAATAGATGCAGTTTCCTTGCTCTAGAAATGCTAACCATGTCTTTTTTTTTTGCTCATCATTTCTTTACATAGTATAACCAGTTTATTACATTTGAGGCACAGCATTATTCATAATAATAGAAGATTGAAAACAGCCGGGTGTGGTGGCACATGCCTTTAATCCCAGCACTCAGGAGGCAGAGGCAGGCCTAGTCTACAATTCAAGTTCCAGGACTGCCAGCACTAGATAGTGAGACCCTGACTCAAAATAAAGGAAATATGGCAAACAACACAACCCTGTGTAAGAGCTGATAGTTTCTGAAGTACACTGGGGTTCATTTGCGTGATGTGTTGCTGTGTGTTACATTGTGGAAAAGTGTTCACTGTTCTACAGAAGCTTTTTATTGCATTTATTTATTTTGGGAGACACGCCAGTTCCAGGACAGCCAAGGCTACACAAAGAAACCTTGTCTCAAAAAACAACAAACAAGAAAACAAACAAACAAAAGATTGTGGTTCTCAAAATGAAGACTAGTAAGGACTCAAAGCCTTGCTTGGGAAACTTCCCTGGGAGTCTGGTCTGCTTGCATGTAGTGGTGCTCTGTTCTTTGGCTTGTGTGTTTATTTTTGCTTCTGTTTTTTTTTTTTTTGAAACAGGTTCTCACTATTGTCTTAGGCTGGCCTTGAACTTGAGATCCTTCTGCCTGTCTCCCAAATGTTAGAAATATAAAGCATGACTACCATACTTAGTTCTGTTCTACTTCTGAATCATTAGGATAATCTCCAGAACTTTTCCATCATTCAGATGGCAAGCCTAGGTTTGTGATTCTGTGGTTAGTTTCACATGGTTCCTCATGCTAACTGGTACTTGTTTGTCTAGAGCCAAGCAGAGAAAGGTGTATTTAACGACCGAACAAGTCAGAGTGACCAAATGGCAAGTGGAAACAAAAGAAAGCTGAATTTTCCCAGATGCGACAGGAAAGAATTCCATTTCCCTGAACTGCCATTCACAATACAGGCGAAGGAAACGAAAGGAATGGAAGGTGGGTCCCTTGTGGTGCACAGCTCCCCAGCACTGCAGATGACACAAGTCAGGGATGGGACTTTTGTGAGGGAACTTACGTGACATCTTTGTAGAAAGTAGTAAATTGCTTTGAAAAAGTAAATTCCATTGAGAAGATTTTTTTTCTTGTAGAATTAAGGAAAGGGTTAGATGTTGGCTTTGTTTTGTTTTAGACGGTCTCACTATGTATCTCTGCTGTCCTGGAACTCACTACGTAGACCAGGCTGGCCTCGATTGAACTCACAGAGATTCCCCCTGCCTCTGCCTCCCGAGTGCTGGAACTAAAGGGCCACTGCTGCCTGACTTCATAGAGATATTTTTAAAAAAGGTAAAGACAGTTCCAAAGGGTAAATGATTTATTAGCTTGAAGTTGAGACGCTGGGGCAGAATTTGAGAAAGGTGAGTTTGATGTAGTGTATAACCTGTGGTAAAGTGCCTGCCCTGGTTGTTTGCCCAGAAGTGTTACAGATGCGTTGGGCACGCTGGGATTTGGTAGATTTTATAAATTTCAAATTCATCATAACCCTAAAATGTAATTTTAGGGCTGGTGAGATGACTCTGCAGGTAAAAGCATTTGATACTAAGCTTTGACGACCTGAGTTTGATCATGAGATTTACATTGTAGATGGAGTGGATTGGCCACACCCCAATAAAAAAATGAATAAACAAATAGAATGTAATGAAAATTAAACATATTTATCTTAGAGTGAATGCATTGACATGAGCAAATGTTCTTTCCTTTCCTTGGAAGACAGAGACCTTGTAAATGTGACACAGTGGCCAGGTATAGAACATGTGCCATGTGAGGATCACCTTTGTGAGATCATCAAATAAAGCGAACCGTATTTACAGCGCAATTACTCGGCTCCTTTGCAGCTAACTTCAGAAGGGGCTCGCTGGCTGTGAGGACGCCTACCTGAGCTCCTTCAGAGGGCAGTTTCTAGGCAGGCCAGCAGGGCCAACAAATTATTCTTTTCCCTTTTTTTCTTCTTCCCCCGCCCCTTTTTTGCAAAAGTTAAACAGGTGAAAGTGCTGAAGAGAGAGGCAAAGAAAACAGATTCACCTAAAATACCAACTTTACTCACTGCGGACCCAAATCAAGAACAACAAGAGGTAAACATTTTTTACTACTCATAGATGTTGTTCGGTGCTTGCATTTAGTTGTTGCTGGAAAGTTCTGTAAACATTAAAATCTTTATAATCCTTAAACTCTAGAAACAGGTTTGTTTTTATTTTATCATACATATATATATGATAAAATATATCACATATATATACATTTTTTTCTTTGCTTTTTTAGGCAGGGTCTCACTATGTACCTCTGACTGACTGGAACTCACTATGTAGATGTGATGTAGATGTCTCAAACTCACAGAGATCTGCCTGCCTCTGCCTGTTCTGGGATTAAAGGCTTATAACATTGTACCCAATTATTTATGTTCTAAATGTTAGTTTTCGAAGTAGTAAACACCAACTGTTGTTTGAACTTTTAATGATTAGAATACACAGCATTCAGGACAAAGAGTAGCGATGTGATATTTATCATTCAGCCTTGTTCAGGTGACCCATGCCATGGACAGGTTGTGACTGACTGCCCCGGCTGTGTTTGCCTTTGACTTTTCCCCTTCTGTTTTCTTCTCGTTTACACTCTTTGTTCCCCAAATGTTGTCCTATTTTCACAAATATCTGCTTCAGCTCCAACTCCCATCCACCATAGCGATTCTTGGATTTTATTTGGAAATCTTTAGTTGTCAACATCCATTTGAATGCTTTCTCTTGGGTGAAGGAGCCTGAACTGACACTCACTGAGTCTCAGCAGGCGTGTGGCCTTGGATTCCTAGTGAAGTCATCGCTATGCATAGTTTATCAATTTTATTATCTCCATTACAAATGAAACTGACTACATTTTAATTCATGGTAAAGTTATTCCTGTTTTATTAAAGAAAATTGAGTAAATTAAAAACATGGAAGGCTGGGGGAGGGACTGTGGCTCTGCTGGTAGTGTGCTGGCCTAGTGTTCACAAGGCCCTAGCTCCTCAGGAACCAGGTGTCGGCCATCTTCAGTGACTTGGAGGCTCTCCGGGGCTGTGAGCCTTTATCTCAGAAAAACAAACGAATAAACCTTATAGGCGTATATATGTAAAGGTTTTTCTGAAGCCCTGTAAGAAGGCATTTTAATTGTGACATTTAGCTTTATTTTGACAGTTCCAGGACTATTTATGTATGTCACAATCTACTTTCAGAGCCAGCGCTGTTATTGAAAGGAAAACCATTAATGGCTGTCTTTCAGTTTATTATAAGTCACAAGATCCTTTAAGCTTGTGCATTTGAGGATGTACTCATGCCCGGGAAGCCTGCATAGCATACCATTTGCAGAAAGGTTGACTAATTGGGTGCATTGGGGCACCTGGGTTGAAGAGAGTTGTGATGTGCCACCAGTATTCACCCTGCTATTTCAGAGAGACCCAGAAACCCAAACCACATATACGTGCAGGGAAAAATGAATCAAACCAGCGCTCTCAGGTATTTACATGGTGTGGAATTCCTGAAAAGGCTGCCTTGAAAAGAGAGTCACTGAAACCAGTACAGTTATTAGAAACACAGAGGAGCTGTCAGTGCTGCTCAGAGCTTCTCTGTGCAGTCAGACACGGCACGTGTGTAGCTGAGACTGAGGTGACGCTAGGACGAACACAGTTTAGTGAGTTGATGTCAGAGTTAAGAAAATTTCTGAGCTGCTGAGATGACCCAGTGAGTAAAGATGCTTGTTGCCAAGACTGAAGACCTGAGGTCCAGCCCCAGCCCCAGAACTGACATCACAGAAAAAGAACCAGGCCCCACAAGTCGGCCCCTGAACATCATGACACACATTTGTGTACACACAAAATAAATATATGTAAAATTTAAAAACTTCCTTAGCCATGCATGGTTTCACATGCCTTTAATCCCAGTACTTGGGAGGCAAAGAACACTTGAGAGGCAGAGGCAGGTGGATCACTATGTGTTCAAGGACAGCCTGGTCTATACATTGAGTTCCAGGCCAGCCAGAACTTCAGAGTGAGACCCTATCTTAAAATCTTTTCTTCTAAATTTTCAGTCTGTGGTTGTTCTTTTTTATATATAGTTGGAGAGAATATTGAAACAGGGCATAGGGGCTAGGAGTGTCACTGCTAGTGCTCATCCAGCATGGGCTTGGTCTACAGAACCCTAAAACAAACAGAAATCAGAAGACAGGGAATAGAAGCTTACATGTTCCAGTGTTGACTCTTCCATTGGCTTGGTTTTCTAATTACTTCACCAGATCCAAGTACTCTTTAGATGTGTATGTAACCCTTTCAGGAGGCTTAGCAGTACATTGGCATAATGTAGGTGCACACTGAAGGGGCTCTGGCCAGAAAGAACCCTATGTGGCTATGAATGGGTAGCCTGAGCAAGAGAGAAGAGCCCAGAGGGAGACCGCTAGTAAGTGGTTCTGTTTGATGAGTGGATTTCTTTCCCACCAGTCTCCCTGTGTCCTTACAAAGCAACCTCTAGGGCAGAGTGCAGGTATTTTATCTCAGTGACTCACCACTTCCTGTTTGTTTTTAGAACACAAGGTGCATCAGCTAAAAGGAGAGGAACCTGTTAGCTGCAGAATAGAAAATAGGGCAGATGAACATTCAGGGAGTCCCAGACTCGTGCGTGGTTAAAACAACACTTTTTTGTTAATTTACATGCACAGAAGTGCTGACTAGCAGTGAAGCCTGGATAACTGGGTGTAGTCTCCTATTTTTGCTTTTAAATTTATAATATTGTTCCTGTTTTGTTCATTTGAACATCAAGTTCACAAATGCCTGTTAATAGAACTACATCTCACATCAAGTCATGTGGTTTTATTTAATCATCTGTTATTTATGGCATGTTGATTAGTGCTTGTTTCTAAGTTTTGTTCAGAGCTTTATAAGTATACAAGGGAAAGTTACTAAATATACAACACAGAGTCTGGTGTAAATACATAACACAGAGAGTCCCAATGTGAAAATATAATATAGAGTCCCAATGTAAATAAGGAAATAAGAGTCTGATGTAAATATATAGAGTTCCAATGTAAATATATAATACATGGTTTCAATGTAAAAGTGTAACACAGAGTCCCAATATAATATATAGTACAGAGTTCCAATGTAAATATGTAATACATAGAATTCTAATATAAATATGTAATACAGAGAGTTCAGTGTAAATGTATAAGACAGAGAGTCTCAATGTAAATATATAATACAGAGTCCCAATGTAAATATGTAATACAGAAGATCCCAGTGTAACTATATAATAATATGGAGAATCCCAGTGTAAATATTAAGAGTTCCAATGTAAATGTGTAATACAGAGTCCCAATGTAGATATATAATATAGAGGCCCAATGTAAATGTGTAACACAGAGAATCCCTATGTAAATATAAAATAATACAGAGTCCCAGTGTAAATATGTAATAGAGTCCAGATGTAAATATGTAATACAGAGAGTCCTAGTGTAAATGTATAATATACAGAGTCCTAGTGTAAATGTATAATACAGAGTCCTAGTGTAAATGTATAATACAGAGTCCTAGTGTAAATGTATAATACAGAGTACCAGTGTAAATGTATAATACAGAGTCCTAGTGTAAATGTATAATACAGAGTCCTAGTGTAAATGTATAATACAGAGTCCTAGTGTAAATGTATAATACAGAGTCCTAGTGTAAATGTATAATACAGAGTCCTAGTGTAAATGTATAATACAGAGTCCTAGTGTAAATGTATAATACAGAGTCCTAGTGTAAATGTATAATACAGAGTCCTAGTGTAAATGTATAATACAGAGTCCTAGTGTAAATGTATAATACAGAGTCCTAGTGTAAATGTATAATACAGAGTCCTAGTGTAAATGTATAATACAGAGTCCTAGTGTAAATGTATAATACAGAGTCCTAGTGTAAATGTATAATACAGAGTCCTAGTGTAAATGTATAATACAGAGTCCTAGTGTAAATGTATAATACAGAGTCCTAGTGTAAATGTATAATACAGAGTCCTAGTGTAAATGTATAATACAGAGTCCTAGTGTAAATGTATAATACAGAGTCCTAGTGTAAATGTATAATACAGAGTCCTAGTGTAAATGTATAATACAGAGAGTCCTAGTGTAAATGTATAATACAGAGTCCTAGTGTAAATGTATAATACAGAGAGTCCCATGTAAATATGTAATACAGAGTCCAGATATAAATATGTAATACAGAGAAAGGGTCCCAATTTCTAGGTGCCAAAGATTCCTGAGCAAGGAAGATAAGCATAAGCAGATGTTGGGTTCCACGGTGGACATGCTGGCCAAACATTGAGTCGTGTCCCGTAGATTGATTGAAAGAATGGGACTTAAACGGAGCAGCTCTTACCACTCAGTAGATCACCTGTAGTGTAACATTAGTACAGCCATGGCTTTGACAGCAGATTTCTTATCCCTGATTCTTACTGGCTTGATTTTTAATTTTAGGGTGGAGATGGCGATTGTGAGGGGAAGAATTTGAAGAGGAACAGATTTTTTTTTCCCCGATAGTGTTTGTCTTTTAAGTAATCTTAAAAATACAAGCTTGACAACTCTTCCCTTTTTATTTTATACACAACAGAATGTAACATAGGTTGCTGTTAAGATAGCCATTCATCCCGTCTGCATCAGCATCATCTACATTTTTTTTAGCAGAATTTTAACAATTTTTCTCTTCTAAAAACTGGTATTTTGATGCTGCAGTCTGGAATTATAACATCACCTTCCCTCTGACTGCTCCTTCCTTGCCATGATTACTGAGTGGGTAGTACAACATCACATGATGTGCCCTGCTCCCCTGCTCTCTGCCTGCTGAGAGTCAGGCCTCCAAGCAGTTGTCTCCTGGAAAGCGCTGGCTTCTTCAAGTGAATGCTCTATGAACCTCCTGTCTGTTGTCTTAGTAACTATCCATTACCATCGCTTGACGAAAGACGTTCTGTTGGTCAGCAGTGAAGCATTTATAATACTTATGTAACATTTACAGTGATGTGATATTCCAGGGTTAAATTCCTGTAAATCAATCAATTGCGAGCATTCTCCCAGTTCCCTA